AACCCGCCTTGTAAGTCTCGTTGGCAGTCTTTGGGGGTCTCGGGCCGTCTGGGCGTTCTCTTGGGGGCCTCTCAGGCCATTTTGGGGCGACCTTTGGAGCCTCTTGGGCCGTCTTGGAGCGTCGGGAGGCCGTAAAGCGAAAGCGCGACAAACTTGCAAAAACCATGAGAAGTCAGTGCATGTTGCCGCTCGGAACCATATTGGAACCTCTTTGGGGAGCCTCCCGGGGCGTCTTGGCGGCTCTATGGGCCGTGCAGGGACCATCTGGGATGGATTGCACTGCGTGGCATGCATTGCACTGCGTTGCATCTGCGCGCATGTGCAGTATTTACATTGCAGTACATTGCGGGCAAGGGGGAGGACAAGAGGGAGGAGAAGGGAGGAAGGTAGAGAGGAGGGGAGGAAGAAGAAGGAGTTAGGAGGGAGGAAGGGGGGAGGAGGGGATGGGGAGGAGGGAGGATGGGGGAGGAAAAAAGGATGAGGGAGGATGGAGGAGGGAAAGGGGGAGGGAGAAGGACGGGGAGGAGGATAGGATAGAATTGTTGTTCGCCTCCCTGGCCCTCGTCATCGTCGTCGTCATGATCATTGTATTTCTTGTCGGCCCCAGCAACGTTGCCACGTGACGAATGGAGTGGAATGGTTTGTTGTTTCGGCCCCCGCGACGCTGCCACGTGACGAGTAGAGCGGATGGAATATTATTTCCTCGCGCCCCCAGGCGTTGGCATGTGGCGCGTGGAGTGGCTTAGTATTTTTTGTTGGCCCCCCGCGGCGCTGTCACGAGACGAATCGTGGAATAGTATTTTGTCGGTCTCCGCCGGGCGGTGCCACGTGGCGAATAGAGTTGAAGAGTATTTTTGTTCCAGCTCCCGCGGCGCTGCCACTTAACGAGTAGAGTGGCGCTGCCACGTGGCAGCCGCCCAAGCAACCAGCCAACCGACCTACCTGCCTACCGACCGACCAGCCACCAGCCAACCAATCAACCGGACAACCAACGATCCTTTTGCGTTGCATGCGCTGCATTCCGTTGCATTTGCATTGCATGCGCAGCGTTTGCATTTCAGTAATTCGCGGGCGAGGGAGAGGACAAGAGAGAGGAGAAGGGAGGAAGGTAGAGAAGAAGGGAGGAAGAAGGAACAGTGAGGAGGAGGGGGGGAAGAGGGGATGGGGAGGAGGGAGGATGGGGGAGGAAAAAAGGATGAGGGACGATGGAGGAGGGAGGAGGAAACGGGGAGGGAGAAGGACGGGGAGGAGGACGGGGAGAAGGACGGGGAGAAGGACGGGGAGGGAGAAGGACCTCCCTGGCCCTCGTCATCGTCGTCGTCGTCGTCATCATCATCATCATCATCATCATCATCATCGTCATCATCGTCGTCGTCGTCGTTCTCGACATCGTCCTCGTCACAGTCCTCGAGGCATAATGTTTGTTACGGCTCCAGCCGCGCTGCCACGTGACGACTCGAATGGAATACGATTTCTTCGCGCCTGCAGGCGTTGCCACGTGGCGAGTGGAGTGGCATCGTTTTTTTGTCGGCTCTCGCAACGTTGCCACTTGACAAACGGAGTGTTTTTGTTTCCCTCCACCGGACGAGCCACCAACATGTTGTTCTCGAAGATCGCCCTTTCTGTGGCGGAGGTCGCCAGGGAGAGCACCAGGCGAGCACAACGGACGACAAGTCTATAGCCGCTGCGCGTCGCGGCCCGGTGCGCAAGAGAGGAGCAGAAAAGGCCTCCAGAGCAGGCGCTGGCCGAAGCTAGGACAGTGGAGCTGATGCCAGCTATCCACGGCTTGCGGCAGCTGCCAGCAACGTCGAGGATACGAAGCAACGCTGCCCAACATTGACAAAACTTTGGGGCGAGCTCGACCGGACGAGCCACCAACATGATGCCTCCACCTGCGAGCACTGCACCATTGCAGCCACACTGCGCCGCGGCGTGAGACGGAGGAGCGGATGGAGGGCGTCGGGAGTGCTCGAGACCGCGTGCTGCTCCGAGATGCTGACTCCAACTGAAAGCCACAGCACCAGGCGAGGTGGGGGGAGGAGGTGCGCGTACGGGCCCTAAGAAAAAAAGGAGAGGCGGAGCAGAGGGGGCCGAGGAGGGAGCGAGGGTGGCTCAGCCGCCAACATTTCGGTTGACCCACACGCCGACGGTTTTAAAGTCTGGCCCCTGCCAGAAAAATAAAGCACTGGCCACAGAAGGAGGCGCAGAAGGAGCGAGGAGAAGCCGAGAGACGTGCGCGACCCCACCCAGCGCAGCCAGTGAAACAGTGCAATGCCGAAATAAGGAAAGCAAGAGAAGACAGAGAGAGAGAGAGAGAGAAGAGAGAAAGAGGAGGACGAGAAAAGAAAAGAAGGCAGGGAAGACAAAAACAAACAACGCCGTGACGGGTAATAGTTTGTTGTTTCGGCCCCGGCGGAGCTGCCACGTGACGAGTAGAAACGATGGAATGCCGCCACGTGGCAAGCGGAGTGAGTATTTTGTCGGCCCCAAGCGGCATTGCCGCGTGACGTATGTTGTGGAATAGTATGCTTCTTCGCCACCCCAGGCGGTGCCGCGTGGCGAACTGAGAGGAAACAATTTTTCTCAGCCCCCGCGGCGCTGCGACGTGACGAGTCGAGCGGAATACTGTTTTGTCGCCCGCCAAGGCGTTGCCGCGAAGCGAACGGAGCGGAATACTTTGTTGTTTCGGCCCCGCGGCGCTGCCACGTGACGAGGCACACATTGCATTTCAGCGCATTGCATTGCAGTGCATTGCATTGCGTCGCGTTGCATTGGATTGCGCTGCGTAGCGTTGCGTTGCATTGCGTTGCGTTGCGCTGCGTTGCGTTGCAGTGCGTTGCGTTGCATTGCTTTGCGCTGCATTGCATTGCCATTGCAGTTGCAATACATTGCATTGTAGTACATTGCGGGCGAGGGGGGCGGGAGGAGAAGGATGATGATGAGGAGGTGGTGGAGGAGGACAGGGAGGGAGGAGAAGGGAGGAATGTACAAAGAAGAGGAGGGAAGCAGGAGGAGTGAGAAGGGAAGACGGGGGAGGAGGGGAGGGAGGAGGGAGGCGAGAACCGGCCAAACACCCCGTCAAGCAGGCAACCAGCCACCCAGCCACCCAACCAATCAACCTGCCGACCAAACACCAGCCAACCAATTGGCCAACCAACGAACCGACCACCTAACCAACCAACCAGCCAGCCACCCAACCAACCAACCAAGCCCGTCGCCTCGGGAAAATTGGCCCTCTGCATGTGTGTGTGTTGCTGACACGCTCCGTTGCGCCTTGCAGCCCTACTGGGCCTCACTGTGCTTCTCTCTCCTGCTGCGCCCGCTCGTGCTTCACAGTCCTGCTGCGTCCTCTCGTTCTCTGTTTGTGTGTGTTGCTTACTCGCTCCGTTGTGCTTCACTGTCCTGCTGCGCCCCGCTGTGCTTCTCTGTCCTGCTGCGCCCTCTTGTGCTTCACTGTCCTGCTGCGCCCTCTCGGGCTTGTCTCTTTCTCTCTCTCTCTCTGTTTCTCTGTCTCGTCCGTTTTCTCTTTTTGCTGCCTCGCTCCTTCTGTGTCTCTTCTTCTTTGTCCTGGTTCTCTGTTCGTGGCACGGTGCGCGCGCAAGGCTTTCCATCGCTGATCCCGCCCGTTCTGCCTCGTCCCTGCGCGTTGCTTCCTGCCTCCTCTGCTTCTGCCTCCTTGTGGTGCTCCGTACCCGCGTGTTTGCTTGTCGGGGCCTTGTGCTGCCGTGCCGTGTCGTGGAAGGTCCGCGCGGTGCCGTGCCTGGGCCGCCGTTGCTGTGCTGCCGTGCTGCGCCATCCTCGGGGTCCGTGTTGTACCGTGTCCTGGGTCCCGTTGCCGTGCCTTCCCCTGCCGCGCCGTCTCGCCCTTGTCCCCCGAGCTTGCTGTCCGGCCGCTCACGCTGGGCGTGCACGGGGAGGAGGTCCGACTTTCCTACGCCCGCTGCTGCTTCCGCTGTCTTCTCTTGTTCCGACCCTTGCTGGCCGCGCCCGCGGAGCTGCTGCCCGCGCGTCTTGCTCGGGCTGGGGGAGCTTGCCCTGTGGGCTGGCGCCGTCGCCCAGCGGCGCGCGACGGTGGGCGGGTCGGCGGGGGCTGCGAGCTTGCTGCACTTCAACTGGGGGCCCCGCGATGGGCGGTGAAAGACCCGACCCTAAACGACCCGACCCTAAACGGGGGCA